GTTTCTCAAAATTTTTTTTTATTATTTAAATGTTGATAATATTATTAAGCAGTAGTGAGTAAGTAGGGTAAATTTAAAATCAATATTATTTATTAATATTTTTTTTAAAAACCTTTTGTAAGGTAAGCGACCAGTTTTTTTTATGAAACTTCAACTTAATAAGGATTCAATCAATACATTTTAAGTATGAATACTTGGTGCATGCTTTTTCTCAATAGTTTTTCATTAATATATATATTAATTAAAAATAATATTTATAATATTTATAATATTTTATAATATAAAAATAATTAAAAATTATTTTTTTACATCAACTCCTAAATATACAATAATATGCTTTTAGTTAGAGATTAAGGGGTTATAATACATCGATACTCTTTCTTAATCCCCCCAGGTGAGCACTATAACTAAACTTGAAAGACAAAATGGTGAGATTATTAACACCCCATTTTTTTTTCTATATAAATTGGATGTTATATAAAAGTTGGACCTTTAATAAAAACTTGGTCTTTTAATTTTATTATAACTCACATAGTTAACATCTAAAAAAACAAATTGCACCCTAAATAACTAAGTGAAAATTCGACAAATATTTTATTGTTTATCGACGTAAACACACATAATTTAAATAACTTTAGGTGAAATAATTAATTTGATAATTTAAAGTAGATGAATATTTCAGTTTAATCCTAAAATTAAAATAAAACCTCTAAAATTAACTTTTATCGTTCATAATCATTTTTAAGTTTAATTAAGTTCTTGTATATTATCGTTAAAATATAATTTAGTATATATATATATATATATATATATATATATATATTAGATTTAAAAAAACATTTAAAATAAAAGATAAATATAAAAAAATATTTTTAGAAATTATTTATTTATATACCTAGTAAAAAAAAACAAAGAAGAACCATTCAACTATAATTTTAATATTTTTTAAATATATCCTTTTTATTACAAAATAAGTATCACAATTAGAAGCGATATTTTTTTAATTAATAATACATTCTCTCTTTGAAAGAAACATTGTTTCCATTATTGTTGTTTAACATTTTTTTTTAATTTTAAACAATTAAAAAATTATTAATTAAAAAATTATTAATTTCCTTTTAATTTTAGTTCTTTAAATCAACTTCAATTTGTGTTTATATTATAGTATATCTCTCTCTCATATTTTAAAACTAATTTATTTAAAGTTTTGAAAAACAACATGAATATGTTCTAAATGATATTGGACTTAGTCCCTTAAAGGATTGTATCAGATTAAAATATAGTGAAGAAAAAAAAGTAATTAAAGTAAGAAACTTTATAAAAGTGGATGAACCATATACAAGTCATTAATTTATATGAAAAATTTGACCTAATTGGTAGAAGTTGAAAGGAGCATCCCACCCAATTTGATTGGGTTCACATTGACATGGTTGGAACTTGGAAAGCGTCAAAATTCACAATGATCACACTCTATCTTAAAGCATAAAGTTTATACGTTGATGATCTTATAAAAAAAAACTTAAAAAGTCAAAAAGATAGTTATTGCCTTTTCTAGAAAAAAAACTCATTCAATCATCAACTACTTTGTTGCCCTAGAAGATGATCATTGTTGACTCAACTAGTATTGATTTAGTTTCCCAACTCAATAGTTTTACTTATCTAAACGACGTCGTTATACAAGGAGAATGCAATATCACACACCAAAATTTTCACCTAAACGACCTTGTCGGAGTTTTTTACTTTTATAAATTGGGTTACGTGAATGCATTGTCTACAAAGCAATTGGACGTGATTTGTTGAATACTTCATGTAAAAGTTTAAAGGGAAATCACATGGTTAGTGAAGTTTTATCATATAGGAAATTCTATTTCTATTTTTTTTTCTTAAAGTTTATGTTATGTAACATAAAAAATATGATATTATATTTTAAAATTAATTAAAAAGTTAGAATAATATATAAGATACATTAATATAATATTTTTAAAAATATTTAAGTTGAATATAAAAGACATATAAGGAAAATTTACTCTTTTTTTGTAAAAAAAATATTCCATAAATAGTTTTCTTATGGATTTAAAAGTATTTTTCTGCACCCAAGAAGAAGGAGGCAATGCTTCGTAGTTATGTATATTAATAGTTGAAAAGCCCAACTCACTATTTTTTTAGTGAAGTGAAATTTTCTATCCTATCAACTCTTATATGATTGGGCTTAAACAGGCCCGTTTAAAACTTTATTATCTTTTTATTTTAAAAGATTAAAAACGAAATGTTTATAATAAAGACAAGATTATATAATCTTACTGAACTTGATTTAAAATCGAACAGGTAATGATATATATATATATATATATATATATATATATATATATATATATATATATATATATATATATATATATATATAATATAATAAGAATAATGTAATATTTCGTGTGGTGCGATGCTAGAGTGATAAAAGAATATTGTGAAAATCTTAATTCTAAATACTAAATAAAATTTATAATTTAAAAAAAAATAGATGAACCACCATCATATTGACAAGTAATTAGGATGGATTTTGAAATCAATAGATTAAACTAGAGTCGTGAAAATTGACGGATTAAATCTGGTAACTAAAAAAAACTAATGATCCAATAATATTTTAAAATAAATCATATTTTTTTAACATAATCCTATGTTAAACTAATAGATTAATGAGTCAAATTTAGCCTAATTAAAAATCTAAAAAATTATTCATATATCTATATAAAAATAATTAATTAAAATAAATATTTAAATAAAAATAAAAATAAAATATTTTTTAAATTTAAATTATATTAATGAATTAGTTTTCATTTAAGATATAATAATTTAATATATAAATTATAAGATAATGAATTCATTCAATCTCAAAATAAAATATATCATCTTAAAGCTGGTGAGATGTAAAATTCAACGTTACAAAATCAGTTCGTGAGGATTATATTCACCTACACGTTATAATGTTATCATATCTCTAGTCGATATGAGATTTCTCAACATAATACTCAACAATTCAAAAAAGATTTTTTTCATTACACTTCCTCGTATCGAGGATGGGTGATCCAATATTACTCTGACAATGAGTGGTTTAATCTATAAACCGATAACGATTCATACCTCAAAATCGCTAAAGTTAGCTCGACACCATCTTATAAATAGTAAAATATTTAACTCAATCCTATAAAACTGCATTAGTAAAGTGAAGATTGTATTCACCTATATAATATTATCGTATCTACTTTAGATGTAAGATTTCTCATTACTCTTCATTATTGTCATCATTTTTTTGTAATTTATTGATCTAAAATAGTAAAAAAATGTTTTTATCTATACAAATTTACTGATCTTGGAATATATGGTTATTAAAGACTTACTCTAATATTTATTCTTAAAATAAGTAAATATTTTTTAAATTAATTTATAATACATATATATTTTAATAAAATATTATTATTTTTATTTAAAAAATAATTATATTCTATAAAATAAACCGATCCACAAGTCTATGCGATAACTTAGTCTAAACTCGTATAGACCATGACTTAAATAGACTAAGTCAAAATATGGCTGATTCAATTTAGACTTGGTCTAACTTAACTAATTTTGTAGACCTTTTAAATTGATCATTTGATTAAATCTATTTTAACATCCTATATTAAATAATTATGTGAAGAGAACTCATTCATTATGCCCAATTAACCCAATCCATAATGCTTTATTCTAACTTTTAATATATATTTTAATATTTACTTTATTTTACAAAATTATTAACTGATTATTTACTATAAATCATGTGTATAGTTTGTAATAAATAAGTTAATTATATGATTACTATGAAATGTAAAGTAAAAAATATTAGTACATCATAAAAAAAATATTTTTCTTATTTGATAGTAAAGAAAAAAGTTAATTTTAACTATAACTAATGTTTTTTTTTCATGTATATGTTATGAAAAAAAAAAAAAAAAGTAAGAGAATTTTTTTTAATGTATGAAAGGATTGGTCATTGTTATATTTAAAAATTTAATTTATGTGAATAAATTTTTTAATTTGTTTTTATTAAATACGAATATTTGAATTTATACTTGTATATTGATTTTTAATTATGTTATTTTGATAGAATAAAAATAATTTAACATATTTTATTTTTTTAACGTAATATTATTTTATTAATTTAAGTTCAAGTATTTTTATAAAAATTTATAATTTCATAATAAAAATATTTTATAATTATATATCAAAATATACAGTATTAAAAAAAGATGATATCTTAATTTAAAAATATTAATTTAAAAACTTATTTCATTTATAAAAAAGTAATTTATAATTATATGAATAATTTTATAATAGTATAAATATTTAATTCAAATTTTTATTTATTTAACATTTTTTTGTCACATTCTTTTCAATTTAATAAATATAATCTTACTTTATTTTTTGAGTGTTTTCTTATTCAAAGTGACTCTTATTCTTAACAACTAATTAGATTTCATATAAAAGTATAGATAATAAGATTTGGCAAAATGAATGACTAGTACTACATCACACTATTAATATGTTACACAATCAAGTTAATCATTATCAAACAAATTTAATAACGTTGTAAAACTATTAACCATATATCAATAATCATTTATAATTATGCTCAATTAACCACACTTATGAAATAAAACTAACCATATGTATAGGTATAATTAATCACATATATAGTGTAAAAATCTCAGCACACAGATAAGTGCTAATAACAATATAAGATGCCCGACCTAAACGAAAAATACACCTATTAGAGGCCAAGATGCCTATCATAAGGGATCAGTTACACTCTTTTATTTCCTTGTAATAACACTTATTGTACATAACAAATTTCAGTATATTAATTGCAACAGTATGTGCATGATTACTCAATAGCAGCAAATGAATTGAAGGGACAGAATTACAGCTATAGGATGTCTCAAATGCTAATAATGTTCAAGCTTTTCCTACCTGTGATCTGTCTCTTCTGCTCTCAAAATCTCAATGCTATTCACCTCAGTTGCATTTTCTTTCTTGTAAATGTAACCCCTTTGTGCCCAGAGAAAGACCCCTAGATTAAGGGCAGATATCACAAAAAGAATAGCATAATAGTAATCCAGGTGGCTGTCATTCAAGTTGTTGCCTATCCAGCTCTTACCACTGTACTTCCATGAAAATTTATCAATCATAGAAACCAGGAGGCTGTTAGAGTATTTCCCAGCAGCTATGGTGCTAGTGTAGAAGGCTGTGCCAAGGACTTTCATGTCTTCTGGGGATTGATCATAGAAGAATTCTAGCAATCCAGCCATGAGGAAAGTATTTGCAAGACCCAGTAGAACATGTTGAGGCAAGAGCCAGAATATGCTCATAGGAACTACTTCTTCTGCCCCAGTTATGTGTTTCTCCCTTATGACTTCCATTCTCCGAATTTCTACACTATACATGACTGCTGCAGACATGACTTGGATGGAAAATCCTACGGCAATTCTATGAAGCATTTTGATGCCTCTGTGATGCCCGGTTCTTCGACGCATGAAAGGTACAAAGTAACGGTCGTAAACGGGCAGACAAATGAGGATGGTGACCACTACAAAACTCCATAGGGATGCTGCTGGTATTCTGAAGTTGGGACCAAGGTTCCTTTCCATTGTTGTGCCTTGCTTCACAAACACTGTCACTTCCACCGCCCAGAAGTTGCTTGGAACTATGACTAGTAGCCATATCCCAAGCATCCCTAAGATAACCTTGTTTGTCTCTACTTGAGTCACTGTGCATGGGGGATTTGATGCATCTGTTCTGCTTGCCTCTATTGCAGCCTTGTCTAAGAACCTAAACACACAGATTTGGATATATATTGATTTTCATATTTAATTCAGAGGGAGATAAACAGAAGAAGGAACCAAGGTGATCTTAAAATTATATAGCCAACCCTTTTAAACTGTTAAAAACTGTATTTTAGACTACAATAAATCACAAACTATCTGTCACGTAAACATGGTCATCAATGAAGGATTAAACTAATTAATCTAAAAATATAAAAATAAGACTAAAGAAATATAACCATCAATAAACACATTATTTTCTATAATCGACTATTAAGATTAGAATAATGTCTGTTAGGTTTCGCATTTACAACATTGGATTCACGTTCGAGATGTGAAAATGAAGATTATGTGAGATCCAACTCATCACAAACATGGAGTTGGTATCGACATTGGAGACAAAAACAAAAACATCTGGCTATTGGAATTTATAAACTAGCAAAAGTAAAAGCAATATATGAGAAGTGATTAGCAAACCTGAAACGAGGAGTGTGATAAATTTGTCGTTTTCCACTTTGAATGTAGTGTTCCAACGCGAACTCATGCAGCTCCGAAGGGTTAGTAGGAAGATGCAACTTTCTATTTCTGAAAGCAACAACCGGGACTCTGAAAAACTCCTTTGCATGGCTCTTACCCTTTATGGATTTGTGCCTATATAATGGGACGCCCATAATGAAGACAACAGTGCCAAGTAGAAAACCAATTGCTGATATGCCATACCCCAATCCCCATCCAAATCTCTCTTGAATGTACACCACAAACACTGTGGCAGCTAAAGTGCCACATGCAGTGTTAAACGACCACCAGTTGAAGAATGAGACTTTTAGCACTTTTTCCTTTGGTTTGAAGTCATCAAATTGATCAGCACCAAAAGTTGACATGTTGGGCTTCAGTACTCCACTGCCTAAGGCTAAGGTGTATATTGATAGATAGAATAGTGTTAGTCGTATGGTGGATGCTTCTTTGCAAATTTCATTTGTACACGTTGGTTTGAAGCACTTCAGTGATGTTGTAAGAACCAGCAGCCCTATTCCCTGTGTACATGAATGTCATTGTATTCTTTTTATGTATTTTCATTTTGATAAATTTTATCCTCAAACATTAAAAAATAACTAGATTAAGTTCTTATATATATTATTTATGAAAATAAAATGTCTAAAATAAAGACTAAATAAGAAGAAGAGAAAAAGTAGAACTCACTGTGGCATATATGAGCAAGGCAAAAGTGATAGTCCAAAAACGACCCAAATAAGAATCTGCTATGTAAGCACCAAGTACTGGAGTTATCCATGCTGTGCCTGACCAGTTATTCACACTCGTTACCGATGATACCAAGTCTTTGTGCAGCTCAGATGTCATATAAATCACCAAATTCGCGCTCACCCCAAAGTATGCAAATCTTTCAAATGTTTGGTAAGCTGTCATCAACACACACGTGAGTCATAATAAATTTATCATAGCTTTTCTGCAAGAAGCATAATATATACACCGATTTAGTATACTATATATTTAGTGTTTGTGTGTGAGTTCACTTTCCATTTAACCAATTTCGATCAACATTTTATATAAATCATTTTACCAAGAATGAAATTGCAAGCTTTCCGTTTCCCAGTTGTAGAAGAAAGCACAGGAAGTCCACTAAGATCCACTGTGCCATCTAAAGTGTAACCTTTCTCTTCCATGCCACCCAAATTGTAACAATATAGGTAGATGGAAGTTTTGAGAAAATATACAAATAACAATATATACTTGTAAAAAAGATAATATTGCAATCATTAATGTAATTCTCTGGAGCCAGCAATAGGCACATAAAATCTTATTTTATTTATCTATTTTTGGTATAAGCATTTTATTTTTAAATTCAACTTGGAAGATTTACCAATTAAGCGGCTACTCTGAAATGCGGTGGCGTATCTGACTTTTCAGGTGCATTATGGACATCTTTCACAGCTCATTTCAATTTATGAAAAATTGCAAAAAGATTAATTTATTACTAATATTCTTAGTAGGAAATTATTTTTATGCAACATTTGGTACCCTATTACCTTTTCATTACGTCATCTTATTTGTTAATATAATGAAGAATATTGTATAATTAAGTTTTATACGACAAGGACTTTCGAGTTGAAGTCTTTGCTCAACAGATGAAAGTGTTCGGCATTGAACCAAAAACTGCAATTGCTGTAGAGTAGGCACAATTTGTTCTTAATGTGAAGCAAAGACCTTAGTGAAGTTGGCATTGTAGTGTGTGTGCACCACTATGTAAACAAAATGCAATGAAGAGACAATTCCATATTACTGGAAAAAAAGCCCAAATCAGCTTAATAAATCATATTCCTTATATGTGAGACATCTTAACAAAGAAATTCTACTAGTGAGTAACAGTTACACCACAAAACTGAAAAGATTATGAGTCTGAGGCTCCCGCTGAATGCTAAATTCAACAAAATCTGCATTCATGTACATCGAAGACCTTTCTAATCTGGAAATAGTAAATCAGCCTTATTCTTCTTCTAACTAGATAAACTTTGCAAAAGACATGATGAAATCACTTGATTTGTATGCCATGACAAATGAACCAAGAATTCTTCTGCAGACTGTGACATAGAATAACCTTTAATCTGTTTTCTCAGCCATCCATTGCAAGTTTATTTCCTTCCAAACTTTATAGCAATCACAACATAGTATTGGCTCATTTTTCGAACAGATTACTTGTAGTTTGACACGGTTCAAAATGCTATTAGTCCATACATACAGAATAGGGTCAATAATATTCTCTCTATTCGTTGACAGCTAGCTAATCAATATAAATAGTGATGGGTTCCATACCAAAAAAAATTTTGTAGAATAAATACTTGTCAAACACTTTTGATGCAATTTATAAATGGGAATTTTTCTTTTTTCAAAAAGTTGGAAAGTGTAACTCGATAATATGTTGATGTATCTGTCTGAAAAACATTTAAAGACGAATCATCTTAGTCTAGTTGTTTGAACCATGCACTTGGGGTTGAGAGGTTGTATGTTTTCCATGGTACGTCAGCGTATCTGTATAAAGAACATAGAAAAATAAATTACTTTAGCCTTATGGCTTTAACTTGTATTCGAGGTTAAGGAACTGTGTATCATGAATTAAGGTGTGAGTCTCTCATTTAAGGTTAACGAGATCTACCTAATCAGCATTACCTACAACATTCCCTACATACGTGTCGCTGATCATATGCATATTCTCTATTCACTCTTCTCACTATCATAGTTGCTATTGGACATGGACATGTCGACGCCCATTTTTATATTCTAAGATATCTATAAAGTTTCTTGAAGCACCAAACTCTTTACTCTTGAATTGTTCATATTAAAGGTTGAACAGTTAGTAATAGTTCTTATCTGTTCATGACCTATGTAAAGCCAAACAGACATGTCAGTCACAAGTGGTTCATCGGGCTTGTCTCTATATATAACAAGGCGTGTCTCTATATATAACAAGGCTTGTTTGTGCAAAACAATTTTCTTATTTTGTTTTTCTCACACATATTACATAGTCAAACGTTGTTCACTTCCATTAATCTTTGTGATCACTAATTACTAGAGCTAACATAGGAGTGATAATTATATTGCTACATAGACAAACATAAGGAATAAGGGACACAAAATATTTTGTCACTTAATGGTTTGCCATATGTTTGAATTTTCAAGTTTCAAGTAATTGCAAGTTAGAAAACATTGAAAACAATGATGAGCCCACATGTCGACAAATGAAAAGAAATAGCTGAAGAATAATAAATGAAAAGGAAAAAGATGTTCTTTCCATGTCCCATTCAAGACAACTACATGAGGCACACAAGATGAGACATGATTTGAATTGTATCCCACCAAGTAGAGGGTTCCCACTATCAAGAGCATCATCCCCCAACTTCTACTTCCAAACTCTGAAATGACAACTCTGCGTAATCTTTTTTTCTTTCTTTTTTTTCACACATTTATGGTTTTAAATAATAAAAAAAATGAATATATAGTAAAAAATTATATTCTCTTTATTTCAAATACGAAATTATATAGATTATATGTGCATTTGATTATAACTTAATTGCTTGATTTTTAATTTATGTTATAAATGTGTGTTGCAACTTGAGCTGGTCCCATTGAGGGGCCTAATTATTCTAAGTGGGGCATATGTTTTAATATATACATCTTACTGGTTGGTTTTGGCTAATTGATGCCATAATGCTATATTGTCCGGTTACTGACGTTGAAATCTTAACACTCCACAGATTCCATCATTTGTTTGTTTGAAATTGTTTATTACTTGTATTGAGGGTATTCGACATCTATGACGATGAACGACATAAAGCTCACTTTTTCAAAGGAAAAGAGTTATCTGAGTCACTATGTTTTTAATGATATTCATATATTCTAGGTAAAGTCTGAGTTTTGAGCGGTCCAAAACGTAGTTCATACCAGATAATATCCCACTTTCTAGTTATTTATGAGGATATTTTTTTATATAGAAGAGTTAAATTTGGAACCAAAGGGAACTAAGATATCTGAAACAATTACTTCAAGGATTAGAGACTATTATATCTAAAATGTTGAACAAAGTGATTTTTTTATGTCGTGTAAAGATTCATTAAGTGGATTAGAATTAGAATTAGAAAGCAAAAAGTATTAAAGTTCCAGTTTGCTCAATGAACTGATAATCTGTTAATTAATTGTTGTAGAATTAGAAATTCAGCAGAATGCAAAACAGGTCGAAATTTGAATAATTATCATCTATATGTTTGAATACGACTCTTCATGTATTTTAGTGTATAAATTTGACTTAATAGAGCCTCTAAATATATCTTTTTTTTTTCTTTTTTAACATTTAGTAATTTAGTTTCAAGAGCAATTTTGAATTTTTTTTCTCCAATTTTATTTGTATTTTAGTTTTTGACTTCTCAAGTTGTTCATGAACTTCAATTTTATTATTTCCATATTCTACTTCATGTATTCTTACATCTCTCTTTCAGATTTGCTTTTTTAAGTGTATTCTCTTTAATTTCTCTTTGCACGACTTTCTAATATATAAAGTTAGTTTTTGAACTTATAATTTTATAAGATTTACTTAGTTATTATTTTAAACATTTATGATTTAATTGGAAATATTTCACGAAATTAAATAATTATATCATGAATCAATTTTAAATTTGTGTTTTTCATGTGATTAAATATAATTTGAATTGATGAGTAAATTTAATCTAATATTAATTGAGATATGAATATGTAAAATTATATATATGATCTGTTATACTATTATAAATATAACTAAAAAATTTCGTTAATTAGACCAAGTGAAAATTAGAAAATTATTATTTTACGTTGAAATCTTAATTTTACTATTTTTTTTATATATTAGATTGTAAACACAATAAATCCATCAAACATGAAAATTATTTTTTACTAATTTATCAATGTTTCTTGTGAAAACGACACATATGTTTTTAAAAATTTCATCCTTTTAGACCATAATTATGAAAATCGGATTCAATCAGCCACTTCACCAATTTTTCAAAGGATTAAATTATTAAAATCATAATTTATTAATTAATTGAACCTAAATCAAATTATTATAATCTCGATATCTGCATAATTATAATCAATCAATTAGTATTGTAGATCAATAATTTTTAAATATATCTAATTAAATCAATTTATTCATAGAATTATTTATAAGGTGTTTTCTTGACCTTCTAAGAGTAAAACCATTTTTCAATCCCATCAAATCTGAATTAAACAAATCAAAGGTGATCAAACTATTACGACTATTAAGTTTTAGTGAAGAACACTATAATTGGATAAAAAAAACATTTGATAAATTTTTTAATCACCCGTTTACATGAGTTTGATTCTCAACATTCAACCCTAAAAGAATAAAAAAAATAAAAATAAAATTAAGCACTTATATTTTCACTTAAAAATATGTAATCAAATAAATAAGCACCACCTTGGCTTCTGATTTTGTGTAGAGTCAAGGAGCCTTTCATCTTCAGTTTTCCCTCGAAGCATGGTGAATAAACATGTTGGTTAAGATTTCATATATGCTTAGTTTTTGTGCTCTTATGCTTTGATGAAAATGTATGTTCAATATGGTTCTTTGTTTGTTAATATGTTTTGATGTTATATCGTAAGTTGTTTTGGTGAATTTCTACGTAGTATTAGTGGGAAAACAAGAAAATTGTAATCAGTGATTGTTGTTTTAGAATTTACACGCTTAATGGAAAAATAAATCCATATATAATAATACTGAAGTTGAAATAATTAGATAATTTTCTATTCCTGTTCTGGTATGGGGCTAGTAATGTAGCATATTAGGTGAGGATAAGAGCCAAAAGTGATGCAACTTCACGTGATGCGTGTCAAGTGTTGAAGGGAGACGGTGAAAGTGGTGAATTTATGTACATCATCCATCCACGAGGAAAAGAACTTAGGATTTTTTTTATGCCTGGAACCAAGAAAATGTGAAAGAGATAGATGGATAGAGATGCAGGGGTAAACTGAAGCGACTTGAAACCAACTTGTACTTTGACACCACCATCATCACCTTTCACTAGCAAAGGCTTGAAAAATGAGTTTAGCCAAAATAATGAAGAAAAGAAAAGAAAAGAAAGGAAGAAGTAGCCTTTTTTTTTCTGCTTCGAAACCATTATAGTGAAAAGGAACTCCCATTTGCTTCACCACCATTGAAACAATCACAGCATGGGACAGTGGGTCCCAGGAATTAGAATAAATTAACTATTTTGCTGCTAATTAATTGGATTCTGATTTGAAGTCCATACTTTTGTGCTTTGTCTAAAGTTGGTAGGGATTCACAGAAACCCTTATGATTAAGGAATAAGAAATGTCTCGAGATATTAAAGATCCTACTTATAATCAAACCCTAAAGCAGTCAATTAAAGTGTGACAACTTAATGATTAAGTTCATAGAAACTTATGAAAAACACATATACGTCCATACTAGCATCATTACTAACATTACTAGCGTGACTATTAACAACTTGGCATTGCCTCCTATGACCTTTCTTGATTCTAATACTATCAATCACTGTCACAGAATTTTCAGAATGAAGATTTTTATCTACACCCTATTCTGGAAACCATTTTTAAGTTCAACTTTACTTTGTTCATTGGAGAACTTTAGAGGTCACATGTGGGTAAGCCATTTAAGCTATTTTAATAGAAAAAGGAGTAAAAACTAGTAAAATATTCAACTCCTGCTTTTGGCCTCCCTTGAGATTTATTCGCTTCTGCTTGTCATAATCCTTCAAATATTAAACAAATCTTGCAGCAGAAATCATGAATTACCTGCATTAATACTCCCACTTATTTCATTCCTCTGTCTGTTTGATATTTGCTGCTGCCATACATAACTAGAAATATACTCCGATAAATCCACTGCTACTTCAACACAAACACTCTATACAGATATATCATCATTTTCTGAAAGATAAAAATATACTTTATATATATAGTTGATGAAGGTTTCAGCTCATCTAATAAAATATGTTGTTAGGTATTGAACGGCAAGAAGGGGGATTATGTATTCAAATACAATATACATTTAAATTTTGATTATGTCACCTCTATAAACTATTTAAATTCAGTTGTTTAAATAAGGGGTTGAGTTTATTGTTTTATGACTAAATATCTATAAAAAAAGTTATAACATTTATCTATTCTATGATTAACCTATCTAAATACTATTTAATATGTCAGGTGGTTGATATAACCAACATAATTTACTATATTAAAATTTCTTTTTACATGCATCTCCTGGTTACCTTCCATGCACACTTTATTATTTTTCTTATCAAGACTATTTCAAATCAGCCTTGTCATCATTATCTTACATTCCAACTTAAAAAAATAAATTAAATATTCATTCTTTAATACAAATTATATATATATATATATATAACATATTTGTAATAAATATGAAATCATGAAATGTATCTAACTAATTAAATTATAAAAAAGATTAGAATATTTTATAATTATAACAATCTTAATTAAATATTATATAATCTATATAATAATTTTTTTAAAATGAAAGAAAAATAAATATCAACATCTCTTAATACGATTGTAAATTTATCTCGTACCCAATATCATAAAAATGATAAACACAAGATAAAGAGAAAACAAAAGTGTCTGAGAAGTCGTTGAGAAGATGAATTCAAACTACAAAATATGAGTCTTTACCCTTAAAAAAAACACTTTTTATATTAACTATAATTATAATATATATGATAAATTGATTATTAAAATTATATTGGATATAATTAACGAATATAATTTTAATTAAGATAATAAATTTTTTATAGTTAACAAATTATCATTACATCTCATAGGTGAATCATAATCATTATAATATTAAAAAAATTATAAATAAGTACAAATTTAATTTTGAATTTGATTATTAATATATAAAATGAATCAATCTGTTAATGACTATTAAATAACTAGTGTATTGATGTAATGATAAGAAAATGTTAAATTTATTCATTTAAAGAAATTCGCATTGATAAAATAAATTTTTATTTTCAATTATGTTTGTCTTCATCATCTTGTTTTTCAAGATAAAAATGTCTATTAAATATTAAACCTATAGACTTAAAAAATACTTCAGAAATATGCTTATAAATAAAATAAATGTTATATCTAAAAATGTTAAACTCGAATTCATATTTCTCTAACAAAGTAATCAAACTCAAATATATATATATATATATATATATATATATATATATATATATATATATATATATATATATATATATATATATATATATATATATATATATATATATATAAAACTTAAGTTCCATATATATCTTTCCACACAAACCAAAAACTTAAACTGATCTAAGTTCATAGACACGTCTACTGCTGGTAGTACCACTTGACCACAACAAGATCATGCATGAACTGCAAGTGAATAATTGATATCACTGTGCATTGCTTCTACATAGTGTCAGAATCAGAATCGTTGGGTAAAAGTTTCTATTGCATTTGCATTACTGGAAAGGTAGCAGGGTAAAGTTCAAAGAAGTAGGAGCCATTTATTGTTCCTGATTCTGTACGTACGTCATTGAATGGACAGAAGCAAGTGCAGAGAGATAGCAGTGTTTGCCCTTGTTGGCCACCCTTTCAAACATGAGTAGCTCAGCTATTCAATACAATGTCTGCCAAATTACACCACTTCTGTCCCCAAGTTGCTGCCCATGTTATTTAATTGCCACCTAAAAAGTGGTATTTGGAGTGTGTTGTTGTTATTGGTTGCCCTACTATACAAGGTTGAAAAGATCATAGAGCAATGGATATTTTCACTGTTTGGTACCAGTAATTCATTATTACCCTGTGAGAAGCAACAACCCACGACACAAACAGTACTAAGAAGTTTATGTTTGATATAAACCCTAATCATGTATTCACCCACCCTCGATAGCTTTTGACAATCGATATCAGAAAGAAATACAAAATCGTGAATATATGTCAACACGTTGGCTAGGATATACATCATTGATATGCCTAGAATCCACGTTGTAGATACTTGGATGGAACTAATGATTCTAGTGTGCAGAATGATTAACACAACAACTTTACCATTCACTAAGGTTTAGTCCATGTAATTGAGAAAAAGGAATAATGGTACGTGAAGAAGTGGTAATTTGGAGAACACTCGTATCAATTTGTCTTCATAAGAGAAATGAATCTCACTTCACTTAGTGACTTGCGTATCATTTATTTTATTTTTAAGAAAGAGTAAAAAGAAATATTATATAAAACACTTAATTCAAGTCAATACTAAAATTAAGATTAAATTATTTAATTATTTTAAAATATTATAATATCTGTATACTTAGTCTTATTTTCTGTTATACTTTTTAAACCAAAAAATAATATATCTATCAATAAATTATTTCATGACTCTCATGTTGTTTAGAAGTGAGGACTAAGTTAAGGACAAAATCGATATATTTTTCAAGAATAAAACTGTGACAGATTAGAATTTAAAATGGATAATATTTCAAACATGAAAATTAACTCTAACGATCTTATATAGTGAACATAAAACCGGAACAATCTCATTTCTAAACGGACCATTGACGCCCACTGTGAGGCCATAGAAGAGTCTCAAACCCTGATGGACAAAAGTTTCAAAGCAAATAATACCTCGAATATGAGAATGAACCATAAGAATGTTATCATCTCAATAAAATTATTTTCCCCATATCATGTCACAATTTAGTATTTGTTTAAGCAATTATTAACATAATTGTTTTTCTATAACAAATTCTATTTTTCCCCTTTTGTATTATTTTTAGTTATGACAAATTACTTCTTTTTTGTTCTATGGGGTTATATATATACTTGTTTATACTCCTTCTTAGGGTGAGAAATTCTTAATAAGAACAGATGAATTGCATTGTACATATGTTTCTTGATTTCTTCCTCCATTCCTATAACGTTTGAACCCTATACTGACTTTCACACTAATCCCTCAAATCTCTTCTTTCTTCCTTTCAATGAAAACCCTACTCTTGTTTTTATCTTCACTTTGTTGGATGACAAGAATTATCACGTCTGAGCCCACGTCATGAAATTTGCGCTCAAATCCAAGAATGAGCTAACACTACAAGAAAATCGCTTATTTCCGACGGATTTGTAGTCGTCGAAAAATTAGTTATTGGCGACGAAAATTACCGACGAATATAAAGTATTTGTGGAAATTGGTCTTACTAACGGATATATTCGTCGGTAAATTAATAATTAGTTACCGACAGATATATCTGTCGGTAAATCCGTCGATAAATTAATAATTAATTACCGATGGATATATCCGTCGGTAAATTAACAATTAATTACCGACGGATATATCTCGTTGATAAATCCGTCAATAAATTAACAATTACTTACCTATCCGTCGGTAAAATTATATAATAATTATTTAATTTTAAATATATTCTAATAATTTAATTATTCATCTAATTAAAAAATTAAATATTTTTTCTATTTAATAAATTAATTTAATCATAATTAGATTAATTTATAATAATTTATTAAATTAAATAATTTTAAAAAATAAATATTTAATTATATATAAATATATACAAATATATAAAAATATATAAATATAATAATGTATAAATATAAAAATATAAAATATATAAATATATAAATATATTGTATTTATATATTTATTTGGATATACATTTATTTGTATATAAATATAATTTATTGTAAACTATAATCGAAAAATTCTGGTAGCTTAGTGGTTGAAGTATCGACCTCCAACTCTATGACAATTCTCTTAATCTAAATTATAATTCAAATTTCTAAAAATATAAAAAAGGGAATAATATAATCTAAAGAGAGGGGAGAGGGTGTCTTTAGAAAAATAGGTTTTATAATAAATAAAAAATTTAATAAATAATAAAAATATTTCCAACAAAAAATTCGTCGGTATTACCTGTAACATTTACCGACGGATTTTGTCCGTCGGTAATTTCAATTTTTCTTGCAGTGTAAAATTTGTCGATGACACTCTCTTCGAATCACATCAACCAGATCCTTTCACAAACTTTGAGATTGTTGCAACACAATGGTTATTTCTTGGATCCAAAGATCTGTGCATGAAACCACTCTTAAATCCATTCTTTTGATCGAACATGCTTCCGATGTTTGACAAGATTTGTACCATTACTTTCATCAAGGAAATATTTTTCATATTGCAGGTTTACAGGAAGATTTATACAAACTACATCAAGGTATTATCTCTATAACTGAATTTTACACAGAGTCACGTACTTCTTGGATGAAATTGATAGTTTTCGTCCCTTTGTTAAATACACATGTACTATCATTTTACTATTTATTTCTTGATCTAAGAACATTTTCTAAACTAATTATTTTATTCATAAATCATGCATTTAACATGTTTTCATTAAAAGTATAGCATAATTTAATTTTTCTTACTTTGTTGCATTTTACATAGTTTTAACATTACAAATAATATACATGCATATATCTATATTGCATATTTTTTTTCTTCTTTTGTAGGAGAGATAATTTAATATGGGTCAAATTGATGGAAAGAAATGTCTAAATTGATGTCATCAAGCTTTAATCTTCTTGAAAGCCTAAGTTTGCTTTACAACCTATTTGCAGAACATTACACATGAAAATTTTAAAACAAACAAATTAACTAGTGCAAGAATATAATTTAGCTGAACTAAAAGTCAACAGAAATCAAGAATTAAATGCAAATCAATGTAAGATCACTCAAAACAAAAAAGAAATATATTATTTTTCCAAATCATAATTATTTTTCTATAACAAATCTTGTTTTTTCTCTTTTGTATTATTTTTAGTTATGATTATTTCCTTTTTATTCTATGAGGTTATATATATATATATATATATATATATATATATATATATATATATATATTCTACTTATACTTTTTTTTAGGGTGAAAAACTCTTAATAACAGATGAATTTCATCAGTATAAGAGTAATAAAAAGGATTCTTCCATGCAATTGTTACACATGATTTACTAAAATTGAAGAATCAAGGGTAATATGCACAAGATTATTGCTAAGATAAGTGAAGAGTTTGTTTCATTCTATGAACAATATTTTCAACATCCATTTTGACTCCAGAAAAGCCTCTCCATGTAAGAGGAGGCAAAATGGGACACGTTTTTACTTACCCCATTTTTAACTTACTAAAAATAAGAAAGAATTAGCTTGTTTATTACTCCATTCCAGAATTTTTTTTACTTTATATTTTTGAACCTGATTTGCAGTATTTGGGGTGCACTATCTCTCCTTCAAAGCTTTCTAGTCCAAGCATACAAGGAGTTGTTGTATCCAGAAATATGAATTAGTGTTCTCAATTCGGTACCAATATTATCGGGTCAGCGATTGAGATTCACGAGTAAATATCCTCAAATAAGATATATTCGGTACTTAACCCTTGTCTAGTCGATTATAAGAGGAGATAAACGACTTTCACACTACAAGAGTATATCCTTCACAGTTTTCTCGCACATCCTTTGCTTCAACCTTCCACTTTTTCTCAACCTCGTCATACAGAGCAGAATCAACAAAATGACAATAGAGAGGGTTTATTTGTTGAAACGTTCAATGCAGGTGTCTATGTATTGAGTAAAATCGGTTTTGGATTGGAAGGTTGGGGCTGAGAGTGAGTGAGGCATCTCAGCCAAACAACAAAACTCATTGAATAAAATATTAATCTTTTATTTGTATTTATTAATCTATGGCGAAATTCATACTTTTGGTGAGTTTATTGTTCAAAATTTGTAGTTATTATAATTGATAATCATAAATATTGTGGTCGAATTTTATTTACAACGAAAATAGATTAATTGGATTAGATTATAATTAAATTGAGTTGTGATTGATTTATATTGAAGATATAATTGTTAGAATTAATTTAATTAATTCATTCCATTATGTGACTCATGTGAAATATAATAATGGGCTCAAATGTGATTTAATAAAATATGAGGACCTATTGGTTATTATGTGAAGTCAGAATAAAATAAAGATAAAATAAAATATTAACTTACGGTAACCAACTTGATGGACGTTGGTTAATAAAAGGGATTAGGGTTCTGTCTCTGGCCATAAAGTTTTTTCACGGTAAACCATCAAGAGAAGCGAAGCGTGAGAAGAGAAAGAAAGGCGAAAGAGATAGATTGGGAAAAGGAGATAGGAGAACGAAAAGATTAAAGAAAAGATTCTCATGGATCAAGGTTAGTCTTCTTACTTATGATTCATGTATTGATGTATGTAAAATTGTGAAAATCAATAATCTAAAGATCCTGTAGAGTAGTTTTCATAATGAATTAAGAACGTAGGAAAACTACATAATATTTTACAATAATTCCTTCATATATATACACACACGATTATAAGTTTAAGGTCAATTTTAGATTTTAATTTTAATAGTGGAAAAATGTTACGGGTGAAAATTTTTGCCAGTAATTGAATTAACATTTATAAATTATATATTCATCACTAATTTGTTCATCAATAATTAATTCTATAATGATAAAATAGATGAATATATATATATATATATATATATATATATATATATATATAATTTTTTAAATAAATAGGTCGATAATTATAAACAAGATACGGATATGTTCATCCATAATTATCGATAAAACGTAAAATTTATCAATAAAATAATTATTGATAACATTTTACTAATAGAGTTTTGTCCATCGATAATCTATGTAATAATTTTGACATGAATATTTGATAATACTCATTTTTCTTATAATAACTATCTCACCAATTATATATATATATATATATATATATATATATATATATATATATATATATATATATATATATATATTAAATAGAAGAATAATTAGAATAATTTTAAAGTTTGTAAATAACATGTATAACAAAATTTAAAATAAAAATCTGACACTTAAAAATTAAATGAGAAAATATTATTATTTAAATAAATAAAAAAATACTATTTTATGAATACTCTTTATTATATTTAATGATATTTTATTTTAAAAGTAAATTTCATAAATATAAAAAATTAAATTCAAGAATTTTAAGACTTGTACCAAATAAATATGGAATAAGTCGATGCATGAATTCAAAATATTAGTAGTAAAATGAAAATGAAAAATGAAATACTTATAAAATGTTCATTAAAAACTCATTAATTATTAAATGACACGTGAAGAAAATACCGTAGTAACTAATAACATTTATTTAATAAATAAGGAATACTATTTATTACATATTTTTTTATTTAAAAATGTAAAATTCGTAAATATATATAGATGACTTAATGAGCAAATTCTGCAACAATAAATCACTATTTTTAAAATTAAGAAGATGCAATGAGAAAAATATTTTATAACGTTTAAATAAATTCACGAATCACGACAGCCTGTAAATGATACATCAATTCAATTATTCAATACTCAATATTAAAATTTAATATCCTTTCCTAAATTATTAACAAATAGAAATAACAAATAAAATATTTATAAAGTGTATATTAAAATTTTACTATATGTTAAGTTATCTAAAAATAAAAAATATATTATATTATCTAAAAAAATAAAAAAAATACTATATTATAACATCAATATAATCTATTAATAAATAATAAAAAATAAAAATTATCTAAAATATCCACCCTAATTATGTAAAAAAATTATATTATTTTAAATATTTTTTTTCCTTTAAAATAAGTATATTTTGATTTTACTCTGAATAAAAAATATCCTTTGCATTTTATTTCTCCAGAATTTTAAATTGTTAATTTTAGTCATTATAAAATCAATACATTTAATTTATTTCTTAAAAAATAATTTTTTAAAACTTTAACTTTTTAAAATTCTACATACTATTTTTAGTCTATTTTTTTTAAGTTGAAGAATTTTATTAAAAAATTTGAAAAAGATTTGTATTTAATAAACATTATATGATAATAAGTCTTAAAAAGAAAATGTTTGGTTTTTTTTTAATATTTTAAGTTTTTAGTTTTTAAAATTAAAAAAAGTGTTTGATAAATAGTTTTTATTAAAATAAATTTTTTAAAAATGTTTTATTTTGTTGTTGTTAAAAGCTAAAAAAATCAAAACTAATAAAATGTAATATTTCTATTTTTATTAATAATATTTACGAAATATCGAATAGTTGATTATCTGATTCATCTATCAAAATCATTTTTTACATTATTTTTTATCGCATATTTTTTGCACAAACAGTTTTTAAATTAGAATTATTAAATATTTTTTAAGAGAATATAAAAACAGCATTTTTACATTATTTTAATCTTTTTTAAAAATTAAATCAAACCAACCCTACTTTAAAAAAAAAGATTAGTTATATATATATATATATATATATATATATATATATATAAATACGTGTGAAAAATATAATATTTTAAAAAGAATTCACACTAATCAATTACATGGTGGTGGTGGTGGTGACAACTTCCAATTGAAGAAAAAAACGGAAAGTATTTATTTAACATCGTAAGGTATTAATAGTAAAATCCAGAATTCAATATGTAATCATGAGTTAGAGTCGGATTAATTTAGTGACTAATTAATGCTTTGGAAGCTAAAAAGGTTGAAAAGAAAGTCGCCTATGTAATTAGAAAGTGCGCAAATGTTTTATTATCTTAATAACTTGACTAATTGGAAAGTAGGTAAATGTTTTTTTTTTAATCGGCTAAATTTTTTTAATTCTAAATTAAATAAATTTAATAAATGTTCCGCAACTATGCTTTACTTAGGTGATTATATTATTATATTATTATTTGTAAAATAAAATTTGAACTTTGATTTACTGAGTTGCTTTATTATTCCTTCAATTTTAGGTATGAGAATAAGAATGAGCTAAAAGCACGTGGCACGGTGGTGGTGAGTTTGACCTGGAAAAATGTAAGCCAATAAATGTGAAAGCATGCGATATTCATTAAGCACATGGCCACAGACGGTGGTATTGTTATGGATTTTTTTTAACACGTCATTCATTGATCATCATAAGTTGAAATGGAAGACCTCAAAACCCGATACATGTCTTCCAATTTGTAACAACCCTTCTCTAATTTATCCATACTAAACAA